TATTTTTGATTTCAAGCTTTCAACAATGTACAATTGTTATCATCAGGAAATCATTAGCAAAAAACAAAGTTAAGCTATATATATATATATATACGTATACAAAACAAGGCACAGAGTACAACAGAACAGAACATAGGTAAAAAAATATTATAATATCAATTTATGCATCAAAGCTAACACAATTGCAACTTCAGTATACTTTAAATTAATTCAAATTAATTTAAAGTATACTGAAGTTGTAATTGTGCTAGCTTTGACGTATTAATTAATATTGTAACATTTTTTTTACCTATGTTCTGTTTTGTTGTACTCTGTGCCCTGTTTTGTATACGTATATATATATATATATATAGCTGAATTTTGTTCTTTCCTGATGATTTCCTGATAATAACACTTATAAATTGTTGAAAACTTGAAATCAAAAATAAATTTTTTTTTTGTCACCGTTCTATGCTCTTTTATTACATAAAAAAAAAAATGTTTTAGCTTGAACTCTTTTGATATTGTTGCAGGCTTTATTGATGATTAACTTTGAAGCAAAAAGAATTGAATGAAAATAATTTCATAGAAATATGGCACAATTATTTAATTTATTTTTCTAGACAAAATCTTTATTTTTAATTTGCTAAAAGTTTCTATGGACAACTAAATATATTTATACTTCATTAGAATTTTCAATTCTTAACGCGTCTGTAGAAATAAATGTACGTATACTATATTTATTTGGATTAGAGTAAGTCTATCAAAAACTTATTCCTTATTGACATATACGATGATTAATTTTGTTCTTTTTTTACTATGATCGCATGCTCATTCAGCCAATTTCGGTACATGAATCAGACACAAGTTTGTATTACTTGAAAAAGACAAATAGAACTATACTTCCTTGTAAACATGAAATATTCTATCAATTCTATGAACAAAAGTATTTACCCTTGGCACATTTTAAAATTTTCTAACGAACAAGCGTATAGTATAGTACAACAAACACATTTCCCTCATTGATAAAACGCCTAATTATACTTATTAATATTGATAAGATCCTTTGAACTTGTTTTCTCTATGCTATTCATCATTTTATTCAGTATATTGCTTATCTACTCATTAAAAGTGGTGACCAACTCATATTATGATGATTTTCTAAATAGATACTTATTCATACAATACAGATCGATGTTTATGTAAAAGTACGTTTTGATTTATGAAGTAGATGTTACAAGTATAAACTGAGCACCTTCTTTATTTAACAGACTAGATTATAAATAATTGTTGTCAATCATATTTTCTGCACGAGATATTCTTTTCTCAGCGGATTTGACACGCAAACATTTTGATGTAAATTGAGTCTACTGATTAACATGTCAAGGCTATAAACTTTTTTTCATAGTAACCTGGTTGACACATTTTAGACGATATAATTTAGTTCAGAACATTTAAGAGAAATACGGCAAAACCCTGGAAAAAAGTATAAGACAATCCATAAGTCGTGCGAGCATAGTTAATGCTGTTGGAAGAATTTTATATGTAATTTCATACGAAGAAAAGTAACGAGTTTTAATAGTGTTATTTAGTCAAATTCTTTTTGATATGATAAAGTAATGACAGAGTATTTTTATTTATCAAAAAAATTGTAAAACTTGATGTATATTAGTAAGTTGTTTGTGACTTTTCTGTCTAATTTTAGCAAATCAATCTTTTTCTACATAATGACTGTATTACTGTAAGAAAAATAACTTTCGTATGCATACATATATACATGCATAAATAAACAGATAGATGTTCTTGGTGTATTTCCTGAGAGATTTCGTAGCACAATAAGAAAAATATATTTGAATGTTAATGAGTTATTTGTCTGCATGAATATCTTTTTCTATTTCTTTATATCAGGTCAAGAGCGACAAGTTTCTATTAGAAAAAATAATTTGACCTGAAATCAAAGCGTTTGTTTTCGCAGCGACAGATACGTATGAATACATTCTGATTATTCTTACACTTGTGAATTTCGTATGTTTATATAAGATTATTATTGTAAACATTTCTATGATAATAAGTAATATTTCAAACAACAAAGATAAAAACATTGACTAATGGCGACGAACTATTTTATATTCAGATGATAAAAGAAAAAAGCTTTTTTCTTGTTTAATTTAATATGCTTAACTAGATTTTGATGCACATAAACATGAATTACTTTTCTTAAAATTTCTAAACATTTCTTCAACCATTAGAAATTGTTTATATTCAACTAATTGCATGAATTATGTGTAATCACTAGTAGAATATTTGTGCGTGGCAATGTCATTAAAAAGAACATGATGTACATATATTGATATATATAATGAGATTGCGACATATTTCATTATGGCAAATCAGCAATTACTGGAGGCTAGACAAACCGAATACTGTAAAAATAAAAATAGATTGTGAAGAATGAATACAAAAAAAAAAGAAAGAAAAAATTAATAGGAAACGACTGAATAATAAGGAATAAACGGAATGCTATAATAATAACAGGAATTTACTATAAATACATCAAAGTGTTTTCATGAGAGTTGCATACAAATTACTATTGAAGATAATTAACAAGAATATGGACATCAAGATCAGTTTTATTTAATTATAATTGACTTTAAAAGAGAATTAAAGTCTTTTATTTCAACAGATAAGTAATCACTATGAATTTTCATCTTGTTCTTGTCGACTAACACATATAATCTAAAGAATATATTTGTCACCAAAAAATATCTTTATCTTAACATATACGCTAATTCCATTAAATAGATTAATTCAATAACATTCTTTAGAATTCTTTTTTCAATGATTCGCACATATATACATATACATATTATTAATATCTTCATATCTATTATTAAAAATTTTCTCCTGAACTTGTGTGCAGCTGTGAATATTAGAAAATAGTAAATCAAAATAAAAACTCGTCAATATGATACTTAATATTCTTGTAGTCATAGACCCGCATGATATATTTATGCGCGCATATCCTCTCCTTTACTTTAATGGACGTTTACATTTGCATATGAAAAAGGAAATCATGTTATTTCCGTTTGCTTTCAAAGACACTTTTTATTTCAAAAGAAGAAGAGAATGAAAGCCTTGTTTTTTTTTTGTTGTTGATGATCAAAAAAAATTTTTTATATCATATTTAATCAAGGTAGAAAAACTGACATTAATACTTTAATAAGTTCATAGAGGAATACGGTTGTTCTTTATTTTAATTACTCTAGATGACATCATCGTTTCATGTTTTTTTTTCTTTGATATTGATGGTAAAAACATATTTGTTAGCAGTGTCAAAACAAACGAATTATGAAAATTGATGATGATAGACAATGACAAATGTGTAAGCTCAATTATCTTGACATAAGTATGTTTAAAGAAATAACATAATGAATAACAGTATAGATCATTAACATTGTACAAAATACTGAAATATTACTAGAATATAGTTTTTATTTTATTTTATATTAGCAGGTGATTATGTTGTAGCTTGACAAAAAATTAAAATTTTGCATAATCTTCATTTGAAATATAACTTTTCATAAAGATAGGAAAAAAAATGTTGTGTAAACTTTTAAGAAAAATGCATTACTTTATTTATATAAAAAATTAATCTTACTAAAACCTAATGTCTAAGTCGATTGTTCAGATTATTTTAATGAAATTCATGATTTTCCCTAAAATATACCGGATGAGACATAATGATTGCAACATCTAGTATTTTGTAAATATCTCAACACAGACAAATTATATGATCTTGAGTTTTTTTAAAATGATGCGCCATAAAATTCTCTACAAGAATAGTAATAAGAAATCCTATTGAGTCAGTTTAACACTTTTTTGATAAGGCAAAAAATGAAAATAATGTTGATTATTTAGCATATTTATATATATATCGACACCAAAAAAGAATTATAAAGCCTTAAATTACTTTTTTTTACTATGCATCATAGAATCCTTACTGCTTTCACATTAAAAGAATCTTTAAAGTGTACTGATGAACTTTTTCGATGATCAAAAATAAAGACCATCGTAATATTGTTATTATCTATTATAAAAAAAATCCGAGAAAACAGTATAAGAAATCTCAAGTAATTAATCTTTTGGTTTGCTCGTTTTGTCTTGTTTCGGATGATTTGTGTGCATTAACCGATCTGTTTTGACTACATCGCTATATTCAACAATGAGCTATAGCGCGGTACACCTGACTAGTCAACATACTTGAGATGTCTGAAGCTTTTTTTAAATATCCTTTTGGGTGTAAAACTAGTAGGGATTCCTTGACATATGTAAAAAAAAATTGAAAGCTTTATGATTTGTTAGTGCCGACATATATGCACAATAATCAATGTTAATTTGCATTTTTGTTTCTCTCAGAATAATGCGACATTCCATCATCACACAATCTTTTATTTTTAGCTGTATAAAAAAATCATCAAAGAAACATAATCAGATTTCTCATTATCATTTATGTAGAGAATTTCATTGCGCATTTTTAATAACAAATTAAGATTATACGATATATGTATCCTGAGATGTTTGTAAAATATGATATGTTACAATTATGATGACTCACCCGGTATAATGTAACTTATCAATCTTACCAGATATCAACTAATCTATAAACCATTCTTTTATAGCTATATTATGTCTTTTTTTTTCTCTGATTCTTAAATATATGTGTGTAGGTGTAAATGAGATTGTCTTTCGAGTTCTATTGTTTATCGAATAGACGCTAAAAAACGGAGAGAGAGAGAGAGACAGAGACAGAGAAGAGAAGACTTTGAGGAAAAAATATCTGGTGTATCAATCTATTCTTTTTCTTTAGAAAAAAAGAACTAGCTAAAAGAACCAACTAGTTATTATAGGAGATGAGACGTAACGTATACTCTAAGAATGACATTGACATATTTGAATTTAAGAGATGTATAGATCAGTTATGTACTGTTATCAAAAGAATTGTTTTCTATTTGAGATAATTAATGACAAATAAAAGCAATAGTATGCCAACATTAGTGGTTGTTGAACAATATATGTCAATATATGGACCATTTATTTTAACTGCACTTGGAATAATTGGTAATACACTTTCAATATTAATATTTTTATCACCACGATATCGTCGACAATCATCTCATTTTTATCTATTATCCCTTGCTTTAAGTGATCTTTGTTTTCTTATTATAAATCTTCTCGAAGATACATTTCGTAATCATAATGAATTATATAAATCACGTATAAATTTTCTTGATCGTAGTTCATCTATTATTTGTATACTTGCTCAATACACAAGAAATGTAACACGTTTATTATCATCATGGATTATTGTTTCGTTTACAATTGAACGTCTTCTTGTTGTATTTCATCCATTACAACGTGGTATTATATGTCGTCGTAAAATTGCACGTCTTGTTGTTATTATTCTTTTCATAATAACTCTTATATGTAATATTAATGTTCCATTTCATTATGGTATCATTAGTGTTGCCAGTCATTTACCAAAGGACACGATCTGTGATATATTACCAGATTATCGTCGAATCTATATGAGATTTGCTATAACGACAATGATTGCTGCATATTTGCTACCAATGTGTATAATTGGTTTTGTTAATATGCTTATTTGTTGTAAACTTTGGAAAAATAGTTCAATAGTAGAAAAATCTGTAACGGGTAAAGTAACAGAAGAAAGGTAAAATCTATTTAGATTTGCGGGTTTTTTTTTGTTTAGTTTTAATCTTAATTATTAATTTAGACATGATGTATATCCTTCATCTCAACGTTCATCCGCTATTGCAGACGTTTTAGCATGCATGCGTTTATCATCAAGATCACCATCATCATCATCATCCTTTGAAACAAACACGCTACCATCAAGACGTTATTCATCACCAAATCACTATCAATTAAATAGAAAATTATTAAAGCATAATAAAAGACTATCACAGGTTAGTTTTTTTTTTTTGTTAAGAAAATTTGATTAGTAATACAGGGTGATCTATAAGTAGCTTGGCAATAAAAAATTTGAACATCTCCATTCTATTTTACTGTAGTATGGTGCTAATGTTTTTTCTCATAAGAATATTATGATCTTTACGAAGTTATAACATGAATCTAAAATTCTCTAGTATATTTTTTCAAAACCTCTATTAAAAAAAAGCCACAAAGTAATTTCCGCTTTGACTTTATCGTACTTAACACAAAAGACAGATGTTTAGATTAGCGACGAGAGAGAAAAAAGAACAACTATGCATCGTACAATGACACATACGATCGATGTATATATACACACATCTTCAACATTGTAAAAGGTAGAAATTTATTATTGAAGCCAATGATGATACTTCAAAGCAATATTTATAAATGTTGTTCTGATGGAAAACAAAAGAGTTCTGAATTCTTCTCTATCACGAAAACAAAAATATTAATCACAGAGAGTAAAGATATTCAAATTTTTTATCATAAAGCTACTTATAGATTGCTCAGTATCGATCTTGTTAAGTATTGGAAAAATTATAGAAAGCTATCTCAAAACAATCCATCAACAGTTCTTGACAAGGCTAATTTCTATCTCCATCCTATATGTATCAATGATGAAATACACATTTTCTTTATCGTCTATTCCTGTCACAATTGGGAAGTTAATAACATATTTTTGTGAGACGCACTTATTGATAGATGCTGAAATATACAGAAAAAAAGATAAATCTTTTATTATTGCAAAGACATAAAGGCCAAGATGACGACAATAAAACTCATAAAGGTCAAGCGAAAATTCATTTTTATGTATTTATTGTTGAAATTTTACTTTTTTTTTTTATAAACAAAAATATTTCCTATTCTAAAAATGAACAAAAGATTATATGAATAGACCAAACCACAAAAAACAGAAAAGGAAATATGGGATAAATAAATGAAAATTAACATTTGCTCTTTTTAAATATCATTAATGAAAAACTTATATATTTCATAGGGTAATGGTTACTTAGATATTGAAACAATCCGAGAGCGATCACGATCACCATCACGTTCTTTATCAAATTATTCGACAAATTTTCCTAATCAATCAAAATCTTCTGTAATTTCAGTAAAAGCTCATATTCAATCACGAACACATCGTGTAACGGCAACATTGTTACTTGTATCTTGTTCATTTCTCTTATTAAATACTCCATATTGTGCAGTATGGATTGCTAATTATGTTCATGATTTTAATAATATGACATTAAAATCAATTAAAGAAATAACTGAATTATTTATGTTAACTAATTTTTGTATTAATTTCCTGTTATATTGTGTTAGTGGAAAAGTTTTTCGTAGTGAACTTATTTGTTTACTTCGTTGTCATTGGAAAGAATTATATGATAGAAATGAATGTGAACGTATGATACAGAGAAAACATCGTCAAAATCTTGAAATTCAATTAAATGAAAGAAAATCAAAATCACAATATTCTCCTCTTCATCAAAATAATCAACAACGCCCTTTGACAATATCTTCATCGGCATATTCCAAACAGATGGCTATGTATAGATTATCATGATGAATAATAAATATTGTACTAGTGTAAATTCATGTTTTTTTTACTCTCATTTCAATTATGATTATTGTATGTGTGTACATGTGAAATTTTTTGAGAAACAAATATTTGACAATTTTGTTATTTTAATTCGAATGAATATTAGTTAAGCACGTAAACAAGAACAAGCCAGATTAATTTAATTCATTGAACTAAAAATATTCTTCATGAATTATTTAATGAGAAGATGTTTGCTTACTTTTTCTAATTACTTTTAAGCATTATATGGATTTATGTGAATAATATAAATGAAAGAATCCTGTCGGATAAGATAATCATACTTCATTTGAAAAGCTATCTATACTATTTTGAAGAGCAGCTCGTGATGTATCGAAGTGTGTATAGAAAGTCGTATTTTCATTAACTTTTAATGATAGAAGAAGCCATATACCAATTAAAAGATATTATAGAAAATGTGACTAATATGACCAAATATTATGATTGAATATATCATCAAGTCAATCTACATAGGCCACACCAAAAGTTTTTTCGCCCGGCCTCTTAAAAGACTTGTCTAAGAACTAACTATACTGCCATAATATCCAGATGTATTTAGAATTAACGGGTGGGCCAGATGTGTTGACTTGATTTGTATAATAAATTTTTCTAAAGTGAAACACGTGTTTGTAAATTTCTTTCTATAATAGCAAGATGCAGTAAAAGACATTCTACAAAATGACTATTGATTGAATCTACTAGATTATCGGAAAAGAAAGTTATAAGCTTAGAAATATAATTCATAAAAAATAAAAATTAACCATTATCCTTCCAGAGCAAAAACATTAGTGCAACAAATTTAATTAAAGTTTGAACACTGACTTCACTTGTAAAGTCACTTTACACTCATTGTATCATTAATTCTAGATGTCAAGCACCTTTACTTTAGAAGAACAGTTTCGTGGACTCGTTCTTTCTTTGAAGGAAATGAATTCCACCTGGATGGCAGCCAACATCGCTGATGAATTATAATTTTATGAAAATCCTCCTCCATTATCTCGTGATGCATTAAGAAGAAAAATAAATTGAATATTACAAGGGGGAACTGTAAGAGATAGATCAAAATGTGGTGCACCAAGAACTGTTTGAACAAAACAGTAAAATGATTAATACATTTAAAAAAAGGTCAAAGTTGACGGAAGGTGGCTTTTGATCTACAAAGTAAAAATATTCAAGGTAAAAGAACATCAGGTAGAAGAACAATTGAAGAATTAAAATTAAAACCAATCAAACTGAGAAGAGTATAATACTTAATAGCATCCAACAAACAACGACATGTCGCTTGTGCTAAAAAGTTAATACGAAAATTTGGTGCAAGAAAAAATAGCCCGAAATGGGAATGGAACAAAGTTGTTAATACTGATTTTTCAGGAATATTTACAATTGAAAGTTTTCACAATAGCAAAAATGATGTAATTTATGCTGAAGATTCTTCTGAATTTCCTGCTAATTTAAGAGGAGCACCAATGTTAAAATATCCAAATGGTGTTATGTTTTGGAGTGGAATTTGCACGAGAGGCTTGATACTTCACGATGGTCCTAATAATTTTATTCAATGGTTACAAGATCAATATCAAAATGATAAACATAAAAGAATGTACATGACTGAGGAATTGTATGCTAGATTTTTACGTGAAGAAGTTATTCCAGCAATTAATGAAGTAGTGCGAAATTTGGATGGAAGTAATTTTCCAAGACGATCAAGATTCACAACATAGAACACAAGTAGCTATGGATGTTGTTTATGATCTTTTTGGAGAAAGAATTCAACTAGATGATGGAGATACCAAATTTGCAGATGTATGGCTTATTGAAAATATTTGGGGAATTATGGAAGAAAAAACAAGAGGAAAAACATTTGAAAATCTTGATGCATTAGTTGATTTTGTTAGTGTAGAATAACCAAAAAATTACACCTGAACAATGCGATGCAATTATAGATAACATACCAAAATGTCTGGCAAAGATGATACAAGATAATGGAAATCATGTTTATGAACATGGATTTTAATAGATTTTGATTGTAATATTCATGATAAAGAAACATTATGTTAAGTAAAGCAATTTTTTAAATAAAGAAACGTCTTTATGATTTCTAAACAGTCATGGTTAATATTTGTTTTTTGTGAAGTATATTTCTAAGCGTATAACTTTCTTATTAGATGACCTAGCAAGTTGGATCCCTTCAATTATATATTTAAAAAACACTTTCAACTATACATCATAAATATTTTATTTGGACCTTTGAAGAAGTATTCTTTACCTTGTATCATTAATTGGATAGTAATGCGCAGAAGTTTAAATTTCCTAGAAACAGAAATTTACCATACCATCAACAAATACTTTTCTGAGCGAAAAAGTTTCCATCTATTAATAATAGACTTACTATATTCTATCATTTGACAAAGATTGATCTTTCGAAAGTAGCAAAAAATTTGTTGCTTTCATGCCTTTGAAGGGGATATCGGAATGGGCTGTTACAAAGATTAGTTTTTATTTTATTTTGTTCCTGACGAGTTTAAAGTGTGAGTAGCCGACCATTATTAGAATATAGAACTCCATCAGATTCAATATATGTTTATTCTCTTATGAAAATTAAGAATTTCGTATGTCCTCGCATTCTTCTCTGGGGTTTCGGAAGTGAAAACTTTTTGACTCTTTTGCAAAATTCGTATATATCAAATGATAGGGTATGGTAAGTTTATTATTAACAGATAGAAACTTTTTCACTCAAAAAGTATTTGTCACAAAATTGATACACTTTTCAGTTCACAGAAATTGAATAATTAGCCTTTTTGAAGCATTCAGTGACCAATTTGACTTTGACGCACTTCAAGTCAGAGAACAATCAATTGGTATACTTATAAAGATTGATAGCACAACATTTCTAAGAAAAGCTTCACTATTGGTCGCTTTTATTCTGAGGAGATGTGTCAAGAAATTTAAAACATCATAAAAACCAAAAATGAAAGAAGATAGGCAAAATCCAAAGGTTTTGAGTAACAAAAAACCTATTGCGGAAATTATTAGATATGGATGATTGAAGACCAGACGAAACTCTATTGATTTAATTTTAAAGAAAATTTTATAGAGAATGTTTTTCGGAGATACTGAATTATAATATACGGTCATATTACCTACATATTCTATAATATCCCATAATTTGTATATGACCTCTCAGATGATTAAAATTTGATGAAAATACAACTTTTTATATACCATTCGATGCGTCATGAGTTGCTCTACAAAACGTTATAGATGAAATTAGAAAACTCTAGAATGAACAACAGTAAATAAACCAATGAGATCATCAAACTACACAAATGAATGAAATTCTGCATTTTTCTGTTTGATGTAACTCTTTTTCTGAAGACTTAAACTAAACGTAAAAAGGTTTGATGATGCTCCATCTAAGTGTGTTCTGAGGCCTTCAGTATTGGAAGAAGAGTCGATGACTCGAGAGACCAATGGAAAGCCTTTCAGAGATTAGCATTTTTTTTGGGAATAGGTGAGCAAAAAAGAACAATAAAATGCTGAAACTTTGCGGGAGAAAAACAAAAAATATTCAAGATTGAGTAGGGTTACACCTTCGACTCCTCGGTTCGGGTTATCCCTGGCTCGATCATCACTTTTTTTTCTTTCTTAAACGACATTGTAGTCAATGTAAATGGTACTTTCCGATAATAGACTTATATATACTAAGAAGTTCATTATTGATCTTATGAAAACACATTTTTATTAAACAAATTGTGCTTAGAATCCTCTACAGAATTATACATGGTGCGGTCTAAAAATTGTTTCAGATATGTTTGAAAAAAAATAGGAAAACAATGAGATGCTAATATCTCTAAAAATCAAATATGAAACTAAAGATAGATCAACGAAAATTTATTTTGATTTGAGTAGTGTGGTTCCATTGAGAACAACCAATTTATAAATTAAAAAAACGATCGACAACGCCAACTCTATCGATTTGTCATGTTCTTCCGGTACGTTGCGCTCATTTCAAATGACAACCAATATCATACTAGTAGAGTAGCATCCACATAAAAAAAACGGATGTTGACAAGGAAATTGATTATTGAAACAAGGAGAATACTGCTGATGTTTTATGAAGAGCTATGCTGTTTCATATTCAAGACGTCAATGAGCTAACTATGATCTCATCCCACAACAAAAAATAGTACGCGGATCAGTTTCATACATCTGTCTTGAATAATTGTTAGTCGTTGACTGTGCCTAGTCTACATTTACTGAGTTAGAGCTTATGGAACGAACGCGATGAAGCTATGAACTGGAATCATATGATGGCAGAATCATACGTGGAATGAGCAATCCTATTATGTCGGATTCTTAGTCAGATTTGATCGAAATTTGACAAAGTTCTATTGAAATTTGTAAAGATTCAGTCGAATCTGATGATTAAAATCCAATAGCAGAGATTTCGACATCTATCGACAAAATCGAATCGGAATCATCCGTATTTGATAGAATCCGACTGAAAAACGTTTACAAGACTATATTCATTAGATAATGTATAAAATTTTATGAAGAATTTTAACAGATATGTTTTGATCAAAATTCTTTTTGTTTTTATCAAGTAAACAATAAAGGAGAAATTTTTAAAATAGTAACAATATTCATCTTTACAGGTTATCTGATTTAAAATGAAGTTTATAATAAAATCGTAATTTATTTATTATAGAGAAATCTTGTTAAAAATTTTTCTAACATGCTATGTCAGCCATTATTAGTAATGACACTATTATAATTTTATTAAGAAACTTGCTTTAGATAATACATCAAGTTATCTTAAGTTTTCAAACAGTTGAATGTACCGTTTTGTAAAATTATCTTCAAAATATGATCATTTTGTTGTAATCTTCTTTACAATTTTTTCTCTGAATGGTAGGATCGTCAAAAATAGACATTTATATAATTTCCTTCTTTATTATTATAATGAATGATGATAGTTATATACACTTTTTTTTCAAGTGACATTACTTCTTAATGCAAAATCATTCAGATTTGTTTTGGCTGTTTGCCCTCGAGCTTCAAATAATAACTTATTCATTATAAAATGCAGATTACTATAATCAATATTGCTATTTTTTGCATATAGAACTCAAACATCACCATCGACTAAAGAACCTTTCTTTTTTCAACATAGATCAATTTTATGTAGTTTTGGAGAATTGTCCAATGCTATTCAATGTGTAATTAAAGTTTGTGAGCGAATCCTAACCCACCTCATGTATAGAATACTATACTCTGTATAGTTTTGTATAATCCGAAAATTTGTGTCGAATTTTCAATGTGTGAATAGTGTTGTTCCAACTTCTTGAAGATATTTCATTATAAGTATATACATTTTAAAATCATTTTAAGACTTTTTGTACATTGCAGATAAATTGGATAGCCGAAATTTAAAAAAAACTCCTTGAATTTTTGCCATTGATTGCCAAAAGTTTTCTTCGCGAAATTCGAGCTTCAAACGAATACAATGCAGACACTGAGAGACATCCATTCTAGGCTGTGCTGTTTATTTTCAACTGAAATATAGCCTTTTCTTGTGAATATAGATACTCATGATTACCTTAATATTTATTTGTGAGATCAATTTAATCATAGATGTTCGTAGCTTTTACAGATACTCGACAGAATCAGGTTGATATTTTTTTTTTGTTTACAAATCTTGACGAAATGAATATTTTATCTAATGAGCTCTATACAGTGATAATATTTTTTGATGAAATGAAACGCGAAATAAAATCGAAGTCTCATGATAATATAACGAGTAAATGTTGACGCTTTGTTTAGGCAATAATTTTCAGATAAACATAACACGATTAGTACTACAGTATTACCATTTAACTGATATAGTATATTCATCATAAGCATTCCATCATATCTCAAAATCTTGTTTCATCCAAGTAAATTAGTGTGGAAGGAAAAGAATATATTCTATACGATGACATTAATAACGAATAGAGTTTAACTAAACAAAGTGTTGACTTCTAAACACACTCAATGTAATACAGGAAGTCGATTAAAAGGAATTTGCTATTTAAAGTCTTTAATCGAATCAAAGCCATATATAATTGACTAGTGAAATAATATGAAAAAAATTATTATTTCTTTTTTCAAATAATAAAAATCTAAATAGTCTAGGTGATTTACAAAAATCATTTCTATTTATATAAGTACTTGCTATATGTCCTTCTATTTCATTTTTCGATAGAATGTTATGATTAATAATTTAAAGAGTATGTGACTTATATGGAAATAATAGTTACTGTTCAATGTCAACCTTTTCGCATCGGCGCATCAATATCATATAATGACATTGAAAAATTCATTCGGAAAAAAGTGCTAATTTGAAATATATCAATGTTCAGTAATTACTCTTGCAAATATTATAGTTTTAGAATTAAACCTTCACTCTTATTCATAAAGACGAATAAGCTTTCAAGAGTCGTATAGTGCGACTTAGTATAAGATTTCTGAAACTGCGTTTTTTGTGTACGATTTCATCTGGTGTTATAAGATTTTACGTTTGAATTTTCCACCTGCGTATAATCTTGCAAGAATCGCACAAGATCTTCTTGATAGATTCTTGAATTAGGATGGAGTTCAACAATTAAAGTGTTGTCATTGTAGATTATTGAACAGGCTAGCCTAACTCCATACATATATATATATATATATATATTTGTCACGAAATGATGTGCAATGGAGTCAATAAGTAAACTAAGTTCGGTGTAACATGCTGTGATGTGTATTTGTAATGCACTCATTGGTGATCTTTTACTGACCCTTTTACTTCTTTCTCACTTTTATTAATGTTGAGTGCTCATGCTTGTTCTGTTTCTTTTTTTGTCTAGTGTACCCGTTCCTACTCTTACGACACTGGTTTTTTTTTCATCCTTTCTAGTATTAGTTTGTTCGTCTCTTTTGCTTTGAAATCGCTTTCTCGTACCGTAGTATAATTCTTTTTTTTCTTTTTCTTTCTATCTTATTCTTCTTCGCTTCCTTTAGACGACAACAACAACTCATCATTCGCACAACACTCATAAAAAAAAATGTAAAAAACAAGCTCTGTTTTTATACTTGGTCTCGTTCTAATAAAAGACATACAAATATGTCGGAAACAATGAGAAAGAGTAATACTCAATATTATTCCAAATCATCACATAATATGTTGGATAAATTATCAAATAAAATTGCAGCAATGAAAGCAGATAAAACTGAAGTTACTAAAGAACGAGGTCGTTCAATCTCTTCTGATCGTCACAATTCAATGTCTCCGACAAACAGCTTAACAACTATAAATACAGTTACATTTTCATTGCAAGATGATACTCCATCTATAACGATACCAACAAGACAATTACCAAAAATATCTAGTGAGTATGAATTCATAAATTTAGACATTTAGAAGTTATATTCAATAGATTTTAATTTTAACAAAAAAGTAACTATAGTACAATAGTAACTAATGTCTTGTTAAACATTTTTTAACAAAAAAACTATAATTTTTCTTCCATTCCCATGGCATAGAATGACAAAATGTCATATAAATACTAAAAGATTCCCATTGAGATAAGTGCATGTTAGATTTGCACATGTTTATTTCTCATATATTCAGGAAGTATAAATGTTTTAATTGAATAGAGAGATAAAATCATTTTTATGGAATGATAAATGTGATTATCTTGATTATTTTTTTTCATATAACGATTATTATGAAAAAAAAAAATTGTATGCCAATAAAATAAATCAATCATTCATTATTTTTGGTTATCTTAACCAAATAGATAAATGCTAGTTTCAATGAATAATACATTAATACGGAGTATGATGCGAGCAATATTTAATGAAGATAACTAAATATTAAATAGAATGTTTTCATATTGATTTCAATGTAATTTTTGTTTTCGAAAAACAAATATTAAATAGTGAATTTTAAATTTGTAAGAATTTCGAAGAAAAATGAAATAAAAAAAAAACGTCAAATGATTAACAGAATGAATCATAAAATGAATCAGACTAACTGTAAACGTAATTTTTCTTTCATTTAAATTCATATACCAAAAAATAGAGAATTTCAAGGTTTACAAAATTAAGAATTTCATTGTTAAAAAGAACATTTTACCTTTGTACGATAATCCACACATTTATACATTCTATATATTCTCACTACGATGCATCGTTCTTCGTGCTTTGTAAAAGTATGAAGGATTTCTACATCAAAGAATTTTATAAATTTGACTTATTCACCTTTGAATATTCCAGTTTTACTGGAAAGTTAAAAATATCCTTCATGATGATTTTTTAATCAATGAAGTTTTTCTTTTTCTTTGAGTTAAAGTTCAGATGCAAAATCTTTACTTGGACAGTAAAAAAATTTGCAAAATTTTGTTCTTTACAAGACTACATGACGGATGAATCGCAGTTCGATATGTTTTCTCCAAAATTCACGAAAAATCGAGCAGATTTTAAAATGGATGTACAGCTTTGTGTTTTTTTTTAAATTTATTGTGCCCTGAATTTCTACATGAAGTTATCTTTTAAAGTTTTGAAAGATAGACGATTTCATCGAGAATATTTTCATTTCTCTTTTTTTTAGAAATCTAGGAGATTCCTCAGTAACGATGTCGCATTTATTTATGTTCTGCAGTACGAATATACAGTGTACTTGGGTGTGTTGGTTGCTTCAAAGAAAAAAGAAGCAGTTCTTTGTCAAAATGAATCACGCAGTCTTGTAGAACTTAAAATTATTCATCCCTGGATATATAAATAAATAGTAAATGAGTGGAAAATTGCATTTATAATTAGTTCAATTCATCATAACTCATGCATTATTTCTTTGTGTTTTATATTTAAAAAAAACACATTTTTAATGGATTCAATGATAGAAGTATCATAATGCAAGATCTATACACAAAAGTAATTTGCTTTTCAATAATATAGAAAATTCATGAGACTGTAAAGATACCATACCAATATAAAAGATCTTATTGCAAGATATTTTATAACCTGACCTGTGTGTAAATAAAATCTTTGCACAACATATTTAGTCAATTTTCATCTACATATAAATCACTGAAGAGAATCAAAAGTAACCAGCTACAATCAGTTTCTTGTTTTTTTTTTTAAAAGAATTTATTTCCTAGCTTAAAATTAGTTCATTGAGAACAGAGCTTTGACGGAGATGAAAAATGACACCTGTATAAAATTTGTCGCGTAGTTTAGTTTTGTATTTTGATAAAAAACTATCTCAATCGAAACTATAAGAAATTATTTTTATACATTAGGTTATAGAACAAGACTGCTAAAAATGATTGAAATCAATTACACTCTAAACATCAAAAGTTCGAAAGAAGTGACTTTTTTGAAATCACGTAAAGAACAACTGTTCGAAAAGTCTATATAGAGTTTCACTCAGTTCGATTTACTGTAATAGTAACAAATAATTTGATTTTGTTTTTGATTATCGCTGTTAAAATATCTCTAAATAATTCGTCTTCTATTGTTGAAAGTTAATCTTATCCATGTAGTTAAATAAATTTGATCATAGCTCTGTCTTAGTCTATCATTACGTTGTCCTCATCTTTTATTTCTGATTCTGCATTAAATATTTATGAATTTACAGCTGAATGAATCATTCGCTTATTGAGAAAACACTCATCGAATAATACGATTATGTAGAATGGAAAGATTAATTTATCTTCTTATTGGCAGGTTTTCGATCTTTCTGTCAAGAAACACAATACAAAAAAAAAGAATTTGAACATATTCCAAACTTTGTACACGTAGACTATGGATAGAAAGAAAAAAAGTAATTAAGACGGCTGAGTGCACAAAGTGCAGTAGCCGACTTAGTACTTTTCACTTGGTTAGTTGCGGTGGCAAATTCTTCTTCTTCTTCTTCTTCTCGACGCATGACTCACGATTCAAGTCGGCCACTAGTTCTCTGCAACTAAGCATCATTTCGAAATGGGAAAAAGTTTGCCGAGATCGTGAGAATGTCATGAATACACATCTGAAATCCGATTTTCAAAATTCTACTCCGTTCAGGAGCTATAAAAATGTCGAAAACCATAATTAACAGCTGATAGTGTCCTTATATGACTATATGCATGATTCAATCTTAGATAACCATTCATATCTAAGAAGTCAAATGCATACATATTTTAATTATCGCTGTGTACAAGTTAAAATCGTTCCCCATGAAGTCTTGAATGTCTAGAGAAAATTTTCGAATGGTGGCCAAGCAATTGAAATAAATATACAGAAAAACGATAATTACCAGTTGATAACTTCTTATATAACAATGAATGATTCATTCAATTTTGAAGCGATCATTTATATCTTACATCTTAAACACATACATATTTTAATTATGATCTTTTCTGATTGACACCTTCTATCATAGAGTGTTGAATGCCTAGAAAGATTTTCAGCATGGTGCCTTAGAGAACGAAAAGCAACGAGTCGAGAGTTGCACTTCGTGGAGTCAGTTGCCTTTTTTCTACTCGAGCAAAGCTCGAATAGCAGTCTACGTCTAATATCGTATTTAGTTAGAATAAACTCTTCCTCTAACTTATGGGTAACTCTATATTAAAATAATTTGTTTGTTATATGTGTTGTCAGGTGATACAGGATCATTATCAACGCTTACGTCATCATCTAGTGCAATCCATATCTCACCATCTCGCCGTATTATTGATTATTTGACTTTGAATACAGATTTTAGTGGTATGAAGTTAAGTGTTAGTAAATCTTCTAACTTATCAACTGTCACTACAAAAAGTTCAACATCGTCACTAGGTTCTGCTGGTACTGCTCATTCATCAATTATAACTCCTTCACATTCGCCAAGAAAACTTAAATCAATTCAAAATATGTTCACACTGGCAGACAATTCAAAAGATGTAGTTGGTGGTGTAAAAGAACGTCTTATTACTAAAATTGATCCTGTCGAAATGACTGTAAAACCTACTATTGTTACTGTACCACAAGATACTGTAAGAAGATCAGCTGTACTTCTGGCTGGACCTAAATTTCGATTGAATATCAAGGAAATATTAAAGAACAAGTTAAAATTAAATAGTGATACTATGTATTCAATTTCGGTAAGCATAATAATTATTCTTTAACAATAAATTTTGAATTTTTTATTTATAAAGAAAATAAAAAGATAACTTTTTTTGTTTTTGAGTTTAGTCATCAGTTAGAATTTCCTTATATATAAAAACTATACTCTTATTATTAAAATTTAATTTCTGACCAATTACTTTTTCTTTAAATAGATTTCTGTCGGTATCATTTCTCTAATTATTACATTATGGAAACCAATATCATCATTTTTTTCTGGTTTTATCGTTGGTTGTCTATTTGCTATAGTTACAGTATATGTATGGTTTCGGATGATTATTAATACTAAAGTTGAAGAAACTGCCATAGAAGAATGGATCGATTTTCCTGCACTCGATTCTATGCTTACAAAAGTTGATAAAGAAGACAAGAATACCTATGTACAAGTAAGTTTAGATTTTTGTTTTTGATAATAAGATGTAGCTTTAGTAGATATACTAGAAGGTTGATTTGAAAGTATCAAAATATGATTCAACTAGGTTCTGGTCCGGGTCTGAAAACTTTTGACCCAACATACTCTACTCGTACGAGAATAATCTAATGTACATAGATAAATGCTTCGATTGACATATAACAGGTGTCCTATAAAGAATGAGAGACTTTTGTTTCCTTGCTTTGAACAGCGCGGGCGCTCTACAAAATCGTGTATTTCATTTAGAAAACAGATACACAATTGTTCTGTAACATAAGATAAACTTTTTTAGTTCAGCAGTTAATACTGCGACAAACAACATCGAGTTGAATTCTTTTTACACAAGCACGGATTTGATCCATTAAAATTTTTCTATTGGTTACTTTGCTCCAGATTGAGTAATTGAGTTGATGAAGATCGGAACTGTAAGGTGGTCATGAATCCCAGAAATAATGTTTGCACCAGGTTTGAGTCTGATGATTAAATCGTTTTTCGTCAAAAAAAAAACAAAATTTTCCTGGATAAAGATTTTGTGACATTTGTTCTAGCCTGTATACTAAACGAAAATCTTCTGTTTGCTGTTGTGCATTCATTAGCTTTGGAACAACACGTTTTACATATGATTTGAAGTCGAAATCATTTTTTAATTGTTCTTTTCATGATTGATCTTAAGACATCATGCAATTTGACCAGCTGTCTTGTCGATTTTTTCTTTTTGGTTTGAAGATGATGATAATTCACTCGACGAATCAATCTTTTATTTTTAATTCGATTTCGACTTGTACTTCTTGCCGGATATATTGTACCTGATTTTGTGAACGTTTTGATCCATCTTTAGACCGTTGATTTCCCAATTTTACCAGCAAGCTGTTACCTCCATTTTAAGTCATAATAGGAAGGCTGTACTAAAAAAACAAAATTCTTTTGCATTTTTTTCGATAATGATTCAACTGCGAACAAAATTTTTTTTCAATATACTTCATTCTAGAGAGCTGTGATTTTTCTATTAATATACTTCCATGAATCAAACATCTATGCAAAGTTTCATTAATATCTCATGTACTTTGTCGAAGTTAAATTTTTGAGAGGGGGAGGACCTTTTTAAGTAAAAGAGAATAATCAGTTACTATCGTCATGGGAAACCTAAAGATGACATTTTAAGCACTATTCTGAAGAATTATTCAGGTTGAATTTTTTCAGTGGACTAGATTTATTAAAATTATTATTTTAGGTAACTGGTGCTTTCATGAGTTTTCACAGTTATGATGCTGATCGTGATGATGATTTTGTTCGTTACCCGTGTGATGTTCGTCTTGATGGATATCGTCTTATTATTCAACTTGCTAGTAAACCTTGGAGTGAAGAAAAGAAACCCGATAAAGAAATAAAATTTATTGGATGTCGAGAATATTTAATTAAAGGCAAGTATTTAAAAGAAATCATTATTAATTTCACATAAATTAATTCGTTGTTCTTTTTTTTTAATTAACTTCAGAAGCTCGAATGATGCTCGTACCTGAGGTGACTTTAACACGTAGTAAATATTGGATGAATGAATATCCTATTGTCATACAAGATTTACAAATTCTTGATAAACAAATCTTTAGCAAACAACAATTAGAAAAATCAAAACTTGATACAAATGATTTTTTTAAGAATAATGCAACAACACTCTCAATTTGGTTCGAAACTAGTCCACAAAAAGAAGAATGGTTTCATAAGTTAGTATTTTTCTTTATATAATTTATTTTCAAGCTACTTTTTGTTTCCTTTTTTCTTTTGTCTATTCTAGACTTTCTTTAGTTTTGCGTAAAGGAAAAGAAGAAATCGAACGAGTCAAATATCTCGCAAGTACTAATGGATCACTGTCATCATCAATTTTGAATTCATATCTCTATCAACGTCAAGCTCAAACAGATGCTGACACTGTACTTGTTCCAAATCCAGTTACTGAAGCTAATATTCGCGCTTCAGTTATTGAAACACAGATAAATGCAGAAGAGTTACAACAAAGAGCGAAAGTATGATGTTCGATAAATAATTTCATTCACGAGTTTTATTTTAATGGATTAAAATTATTGATTGTTCTTTGGTTTCTTTTTTTTTTAAGGAGAAAGAATCAGAGAATGCTGAAAAAGATGCGAGTGGAACACATCGAACTATTGCAAGAAAATCAAAAAAATTAATACCGAATGAAACTAGTTTACAAAAAGTTCTTCAAACACCTGAATGTTTAGATGAAGCAGCTATAACAATCAATTTCATGATTCGTCGACTTTTATGTGATATATTTCATACTCCAGTTCTTAAAGATTTATTAAAAAATAAAATTGAAATGAAATTAAAAGAAATTGCTGTAAGTTATTTCTTATTTATCGATTACAAGACAAGGTTTTATTTTCTCAAATTTTTCATACATGATTCAAGCATTTTTTTTAAAATTTCATCTCTACACTGTAGATTAAAGCATTCAAGTTGTTCATATTTTGTTTTTTTTTTCTAGAGGAAATTTTATAATCTTTACTCATTGATATATTTTTTGTAGGTATCAATTCTTGAAAATCTTCGTGTTGTATCCATTGACTTAGGTAAAACATTTCCAATTATATTAAAAATTGAACCCATGCAATGGAATACACAAGGTATTTGGTTCAATTTATTCCTCTATTATCGTGGTAATTTCAAGTAAGTTTAACATTAGAAAATTTCTCAATGCTATCAGATCAATTCGCAAGAAAATTTGATTAGCTTTGTAGAGTATTTTTATAGAATACACATTCTCAAAGATTGTTGAAAAAAAATAAGGGTGTGGGTGTGGATGTAAAAGCAGAGCAGACCAACACCCACACCATTCAATATGAGTTCAAACGACGGGTGTCACTTGAGATAATTCCATCGTAAGCTTTTTCAGGATTTATGCAAATTTGCCCAGTTATAATTTTTATAGCACTTGACAGAGGACACTTCAAAACATCTTGCGAAAAATTTGTTTTTTGGTTGAGAAAGAGAGGGTATCCTTAGATTCGTTCGGTTCTTTTCTGAGTATCCTAAGACAATCTCTAATTTCGAAGTTAATAATTGATTCATAATTAAATTTAGGTTATCCATAAAAAGTCGTGTTGTACTACAAAAATTGATTAATTATGATCCAAAAAATGATAAGCCAATATTTGCACAACATCAAATATCACAAATTGTTCATAAAGATAATGAAAATATTAATGAAGATGATTTAATTCAAAGACAAAAACTTTTAGCTAAAGAACCTGAAATTCCAGAAATGTATATAGATTATCATAAGTTCATATAGATTAAAATAATCAATTTTAATTTATTCTAGGGCCATAACACGAAGACTTGGTACTGTATTAACTAATTTAGCATTAAATAAATATTTTCAAATATTTGTAAATTTACCATTTATAAAAACATTATTTGAAAAATTTTCTCAGAAAGACGTTGGTATAGATGTTGAATTGACTAGTTTTAGTGGTATTCTTACAGTAAGTTATTCATTTTATATTCTTAGGAAAATCTTAATTTTCTCTTTTCTAATATAAAAATCTATTTTAGCTTAACATTCCTCCACCACCAAGTGATCGAATCTGGTAAATATTTTACTCATTTCATTTATATAATTGGTCAATTTAATTTTTTCAGGGTGGGCTTTCCAGAAATGCCTGATTTTAATATCAAAGTAACACCAACATATGGTGAAAAACAATATTCTTATATATTATTGCAAGATTTTCTCGCAGCTAAAGTTCGTGCTGAGTTGAAAGTTAGGAAATTCTTTTTTTTTTGTTTAAATAATATTTATTGGTTTATTTTGTAGCGTCTCGTTGTTCTTCCAGCTATGGATGATCAACTTTTGCCATTCTTTCGAGATTGGGTTATCGATATTATGTAAGTTTTTAACTTTCAAATAACTAAAATCTTGAAGAGATATTTACTAAGCTAGAAAAAACATCTTCTTATTTTATTAATCAAATATTTCCAGTTGTCTAAATTCGATTATCTTATAGATCGAGTGTTGTTTTCTATTCGAAACTTTTGTTGTGTTTGATCATTATCCTTGACTCTTATGCTACTAAATTCAATGAAAGACTTCATGTTTTTTTTTTGATAAACATGTTTCATAATTACGAAACAGTCAATCGAAAAGGAGTTCTCAATAGATCATTTGATATATTAAATACCTAATATGTTTATTCATAAAGTTACCGATCTTATCTTTGTATCAGCGATCAAATGCTTACGAATCATATAATCAAAAGTAATCAGCTAGCATCAGAATTTCATGTTCTTTTTAACAATATATTATAAGAATTTATTTTCCGGCTTAAATTTAGTTCATTGAGAACAAATCTTCCACGGAAGTCAAAAACAGCGTCTATACAAAATTTGTCGTGTAGTTTAGTTTTGTATTTTGATAAGATCTATCTCAACCAAAACTATAAGAAATTATTTTTATACATTAGGTTGTAGAACGCAAGGCTGTTACAAATGATTGAAATCTATTATATTCTAAATACCGAAAATTCGAAAGTGGATATAGAATTTGAGGGTGTGAGTGTAAGTGTGAGTGTGAAGAGGATGCAAGAAGACCCACATCAACAACCATCCTTTATTTGTACTTTTTCTGCTGATTAAGAGGAAGTGTCCTCGAAAATAGTCGGCATCTGTTTTATTTTTATATGATACTACCATAAAAAATCAGAAGCACTAGAGATAACTCATATACTGATATTCTTTTATTTTTTATATAACTGAAAGCTTCTGTTAAAAAAGCTTTTGTTCTCTAATTGTAAACTTCTCGACTAATTTCATAGACTCATATTAGTATAAAGACTTTGTACATATAGATTAGAGAGTATGATCATGGGATGGCCTATTCACAAATGTTATTTAAGAATGGTTGAAAAAAACTCAGATGGTATATTAATACTTTGTGTTTTCCTATGAAATTTTCATGTGTATTATAATCGTCTACTCTTGTACTATTCGTATATATCGACATTAATTTGTTATAACTATAACCTCTAAAATTTTTTATCAAACATCCGATTTGCAAGCATTTTGTCGTTGGTAATTTAATAATCTTCTGAAGAATTGCACTGACATTATTCCTATTTTAATTGACGAAGATAGCCCAAGTACACTAAGTGTTATTTTAATAAAATAACTATCATTTGATATAACATTTAGTCTAGGATTTGTATGTGTTACTTTGTAAGAACCAAAACTATTTTTATTTTTATTGTTTTCTGATTGATCAAACGTTAATAGAAATCAAGTAAGAATACATCGTGTCCGACGAACATCTTAAATATTTACTTTTTCTCTATGAATAATGAATCATTTAAAACGCAAAATAAAAGACAATTGTTACATAGTTTGCTAATATTTTCAAAAATGGATTCTATTTGTCTATTACTTGTTTTCTTTTTTAGCGGTGATATTATAAGTAAACCTGTCAATCCACTTACTGATAATTATAAAACAAAATTAAACGTCCAAACTGCTGTTCGTGAAGGATTGCAAGAATATAAAAATGCCAAAAATGTTAAAAGACAATCACCAATATTATCCACGAGTTCAGGGACAACTCGAGTTCAAACGTGAAGTTGTTTTTACATTAAAACTATATTTTTGTTTTTGTTTTTGTTTTTTATGAGCGAGTAATAATTATGTATATAATCAAATTAGGATTAACATATCAGAAAAAAATAAACAATCAAAGCTCATAAGCATAGCGTATGAACTTCTCTAGTCAATTTATTAAAATTCAAATCACAGTTATGTTTGGCTTTGAACATTTTTTCGGTTATTTAAGAGTCTCACACAAATTTTGTCTGCTGTCAACCTTGGATGTTAATACACATGCGAATGCTATGAATGAGCACTGTGTACGGTCAACAGTAATAATTACTTATGGAGAAATTATTCAGTATATTTCAGAAGATCAATTATTGTCATAGAATAGTGATGTATCCACGTGTCGTCTGTATTAGAGTTCTAAACTCCGTATTTTCATGATGTTTTTGTATCCGGGATCTGGCGAGGATCCAACGGGAATCCAAAGGATCCGTGGATCCGCTTTTTCCTCCTTGCAATGTAGGTTCTAGCACAATCTATATTCAACTAATGTCAACTGATGAACTAGTTCTAAATACAGTTACAGCGTTTGTGAAATTTATCAGTGTAATTTCATATAAAAATTTCTTTATTCGTGTTCTGAATATCAAAGTATCAGCGACAAAATTAGAAGAAAAAGGAGAACAACGCTGTGCGGTTGTGTGTGAAGAGGACATTAATATCCTCACTCTTTGTCATGTATATGATGAAGATGTTTATATTGTTTGCCAATATGTTCAACATTCCAATTAAATTACATATTTATATTTACATAATTATTGTATAAAGAAAAACTCTCAAGAAGAAATTAATCTAATTCATTTATTTTTTCAATATTATGCAACAATCGATAAATTTTCTAACCGTCATCTCATACTGTCACCGTCACCCTCAAGGGACGTTCCCGGAGTGACCTACTCCTTGAACTTTTATTATCATAAAATCTTATAAAAGCAAGAATTTCACGTTCTGATCAAGTGTTATATAATTAAAACGTATAAAACTGATCTCTTTACATAAAAAAGAGACGAGACAGATAAGTGAAAAACAGCCAAATTATTTCTATCTCAAATAAAATCCATAAATAAACGAAAAAAGTATATGACACGAAACTTAGACATCTCATGCCTCTCCAAACGGATGTCTTAGCAGCACTTCTCACAGACTGTGAGAAAAAAATCCATGCAACCTAAGTCTAGTACGTTCACGCTACTATAGTATATTGCAATAAGTATTTTTATCATGAACACATAAATAGTATAAAGTCATTTACAAGACTATACGACATGTTGCTAAACCTTCTTGTTTACGAGCATAAGCAGCTTCATCATGTTTCATATATTTATTCCCAAGAGATTGTACTAACAGCTTTTTTCTAAACAATAATAATTAAAAATTCACTTCATACTATCTTGATGTTGACAATCTCTGTTCGTTTTTACAGAGCAATTTTTGTACATGTATGACAAAAGAAAACTTTCTATATTCCTGAATAGTTGGGACGCTTTAAACAGCTTTAAAAAGAAAAAAGATAATAAAATTTCTATTATTTATTAAACAATGCAATCTTACATTGTAAGAAAAACAGTGTATTATTTAACGATATTCAATTGTATATAATCAAATAAAATATTACGATAACGAAATTCATATCTAATATGAAATCCAAAATAAATATCCGATAATTCGAATACTTTTATTCTACCCATTGTTTCATTAAACCAATCAACATTACTATGTAATAAATATTTTGATTCGAACCAATCGAAATCCATTTTTCCATCACATTCGCAATCAAGACCATAATCAGCCAATGCATAAAAATAACATTCTACACATTTTTCTACACTAGGATCTTGACTACAACATTCATTGTAGTATGGTAAATATTTATCATTCTTGTCTAATTTAATACGACATATAATGTCATAAATTCCAGGTAATATTGATTTAAATTTACCTTTTATACCAGATTGATAAAGTAATTCATCAGAATATAAACGAACACATTGACCTGTTAAACTATTTAAATCATATTCGTGATTTTTTGAACATATTGCGTTGAAACAATGTAAATGATATTTTGAACAACGTAGATATATCCCACATATATCAACACCTAATAAACGTTTCGGTTCAATTAGATAAAAATAAATTAATTTACATAATGATATTTGAAAAATATTTTCTTTAGTTAATTTTTTATTTTTATTGAAATAATGTTCAAAGAATTCTTCGATTGTTAGAGACATTTTTAATTCATTAGTACGTGGATAGAATTTTCGTTTAAGTACACTTTTATAAGTTAGATAACCATCATTATTGTCTTTGCAATTTAACACATTGAATAACCAAATATTGCACACATATCTTGGTAAATTGTTTCGAAAAGATTTTTCAAATTTTTCTCTATCTTTATCTGTACGATATAAAACATAATCTGAATTTTTCTTATTTTGAAATATTTCATTAACATAAAGTTGATACAATTTAGATCCAAAATGATTTTTAATCAATATCATCCAAAAATAATTATCTTTTTCAATTAAAATATATAATCGCTTGCATGTTCTTGACAAGTTTATAATATCAATTAAACACAAATATTTACATAAGTTATATAAAGCATGATGAGGAAGATTATCTAAAAGTATTTTTTTTCTAAAAAGAAAAACATAATAAACTTTGTTTTATTTCTTTCAGAGACAATATGAGATATAGAAAAAAAATGAAATAGAAAATCATAAATCATTGTAAAGCAGCATAAATGACTAGTTTATCACAATATCATATCATTTGATTTTGATTTTGATTACCAACCTTAGTACACATTATCTGGAAGACCATCATTATCATCAGTAATTTCGCCACTATCATCCTACAAAACAATTGTCCAAGAAAAACAAGAAAGGTTTCACATTGTTGACATTGAAGACTACCCATGTAGTTAGATATGTGAAATTAACACATTGCAACAATTCGTATTGTTTGAGGGTGTGAGTGTGGGTGTGGGTATGGGTGTGGGTGTGGGTGTGGGTATGGGTGTGGGTGTGGGTGTGGGTGTGGGTGTGGGTGTGGGTGTGGGTGTGAGGGTGTGGGTGAAGGTGTGGGTGCGAGGGTGTGGGTGAAGATACCCACACCGTCACACCCACACCCACCCACACCCACACCGTCACACCCACACCCACCCACACCCACACCACACCCACACCCCACACCCACATCCTTCTTTGAGATGCCTTCGGACATAACTTTTGCAAGTATTAATTTGAGCATTTGAACATTTACGAAGATATCTGTATCGTGGATGCAAAAATGTTGCTGCGAAGTGAATAGGTTCCAAGACAAACATTGACTCGAGTAATTCGAGCAGTCGAAGCCGAAAGAAACGAATACCTGAAAGCAAAGAGTTTTCTTTCAATTTTCATGAAAAGGTTCATCCGCCATAATGATTAAACTTACCATCTGATTCTTCCGATTCCAACTCGTATTCATCATCACAATTTTCACTGTCGCTTTTCATTGGTACCAGATCATGTTCTTTGTTGAACTTGGTTAAATTTTCGAAGGAACTTAAGGTTTTCCGTAAAGTCAATACACAAATCAGAACTAAATATAATGATGGTTCATTTCCTTTTTGTATCACCTTCATTATGTGCTTAAATGGACGTAATAAATGAATCAGACGTTTAATAATCCATCTATCGATTAAACAAGTTTTCTTCTTCTCTTGTAGAATTTTTTTTGTTTCTTTGAAAGAGCGGTCGATCGATTCCACCAGTTGCATAATTGGAAGCCAACGAACTTTGGTTGATTGACATAGACTAATTCCACCTTCAGATTGGATATTCTTGTTCAATCCATTCTAAAATAAATGAGAAAAATTAATGAACATTTGTTCTTTCGTTAATTCACCAATTTCACGTATTTTACGATATCTTTGCAGTTGTGTTACACTTTCAAAACTTCTCGAGCAAAATTAGGTAAATCCTTGATTTTTGTCTTTGATATATCAAAGAATGCGATCTCATCAATATCACCATCAAAAATAGAACAATTGACTTGATCTTCTGAACTGCATATAGTTCCATCCGCCAAATCAGAAGAACAACTTGCCTGAATCTTAAATGATTCATTTTGGTAGAAGCATAGCACCAAGATATTGTTCAATCGATGAGCAAAACGGAAATATGTAGAGAAATTCTTGAGTACTTTGACAAAGTTCGGACCTCGATCGCTCACAAATTTCAGAAGAGATATATCAACAATACCAATTTTTTTTAATTCTTTTTGCATTGCCTAGAAAATACAAATAATTCGAGTGAGATGAGAAAAAGGTACACTTATAACTGACTACATACACCGTAAGCATCAAAAAATAATTTTTATTGAAAAAATAATATTTTGATTAAAAATTAATTTTTATTGAAAAAATAGTGTTTTGATTACAAATTAATTTTTATTCAAAAAAACAGTATTTTGATTACAAATTTTTATTCAGGAAACAAAGTCTTGATTAAAAATTATATTTTATTTAAAAGTGATTTTTGATGCTTAAGTTGCGTTTAATTAGTTATAAGATATTATTATAAATCCATATGTTATTATAATAAAAACGATACTCACTGCAACGATACTTTCGGCAGTTTTGTCTTCTTCTTCAAATGGAGAGCAACAAAGATCATATGATCGAAAGTCGAATTGATCATTGACGAATGTAGCAGCGATTCCTAGATAAGAAACCTGATGAACAGGATCACTCCACATATCGGGACAGAAGGTAACAGCATCATTTTGAAGAGGTTCAAGTAGTTCTTCGCTGATACGAGTTCGATGTTCTTCAGCAAGTTTAGAAATATGAGCAGCAGTCACATCAGCACCTCTCAACACTTGATCCACATTTACATTTCCATAACGATCACCTTAGAAGAAAGAATAAGCAGAGAGTATTAAAATTTTCAATCAAATACTTACCAATTGATATACATTCTTGAATCAATCGACGTAGACCATTATCTTCAACTATTGAAAATGGACGAATATTTTGACAAACCCATTCAGCTTGTAAATCTTTTATCTTCATAATTTCAGATTCTTTCAAACATGCTTGTTTTGTTCGAAAAAATGAAGTTAAACGTCCTTGTGTTGGAGAAGTTCCATTTGCTTCTAATATTTTATTTCTTTCTTTTGAACTTTCACAATTATGCTGATTCAGCATTCGAGTACTATTTGACAGAAATGAATAAGTGGTAAAACATTTCTTACATGACACGAAGCCATCAATTTGCTGAGGATCAGTATTCTTCTTGACGATGGCAGGAAAACCAAACGAAGACCAACAATCAGACTTGTGCTTTCCAGTATTTTCTATCACAGTATATTGATCAGGTTTTGTTCTAGGCATTGATTGAACTTGAGTGGACGTTAATTTAACCGAATTACCAGGAGAAGAGATCGATAACTTGACCAAAGAGGCATTCGAATCAGGAGAATTAGCATTTCCAACACGTGATATGGAAATCGGTGATAAAATTTCAGGAGAAGACATTATGTTATTGTTTGGTTAAACAGAACCTACTAATTTCTGAAAATAGCGATATATTAAATAAACAATGAAAAAAAAAGAAAGAATGAAATAGAAAAGAAATAAGTAAACTATATTATCTGGATGTACAGTAGTATAAAGACAACCAGTCAGATCACTTTTAACAGCTGTTCTTGTATTCTCAAATTATAAATGTCGTCCAACTGCGATGTATGAAAAACAATGCGTGACAATTTCATGTCAGAAAGATGAGACGGGATACCGAAATAAAACGATCTTGTCCTGTCCTGTCCCGTCCCGCAGAGCTCTGGTATAGTGTTTATATCTCTCTTATTACTCTTTGCGTTAGCATATCACTCCTTTTATTCTCAAATAACATTGAAAAAAAAGAAAAAAACATACACAGACAAAAAAGCACACCACATTGACACACTCGAACACATGTCGTCTTCCTCACATATAGTGGCATACCGATGATGTTTTTCTTATTCAAGAGGGATAAATCGAAAGAAAAGAGAGATGAAGAAAGATAAAAAGAAGAGCTAAAGAATGTAATACATGACATAAGAACAGACAAGACAGAAGAAATTATTTAACTAAAGATGTATCATGGCCAATGGCTATGACACATTGATAAATCAGAATACGAACTCGAAATGATATCAAATGTCTTTATATCAGTCTTACTGATAAAATCGCGAAGAATCTCATTGGAAGAAGTGACTAGAATTCATCTGTTTTCAAGACATAAAGGATAATTTCTATTGATTATCAGTTGATCCCGAAATTATTCGTTGATCTGCATCATCTGCAATTGCGGACAATATATTAAAGTGAAACGAAGCACTTTTCGTAGTTCGGATTTAATGTGCAGGTAATAGATGATGAAATTTTTCTGTTTGATGAAAAAATCGAACTCTATCTCTTGTGATCTTCAGTCATTTTGAGATCTTCTGACAGAAGTCGTTTGTTTCGCAGGTTACAAACTAATTCGTACTCATCGCATTTTTGCTTTAATATGTCTCTCGAAGTTCCATGAAATCGTACTATTCTAAAGGGGAATTTTTCCTTCACACGATGAACTAAAAGAAATGTTAAATTGAAATCGATGTGATACTTAAACGCTATAAAATCATTAAAGTCTAGAAGTTTTCTTTGAGACTTGGAGTTTGAATTTCGCCACAGATAGATGTCGACATGTACCAAACCGAATCTCAACTTCGAGTTTTGATAACAAGCTTTACAAGATTGAATTGGATTTTCTACACTCTAAGAGATTGAAGGGATTAAATAGACTAAGATAGATTATAGCTGGAAGATGTTTTTTAGATCGGGATAACTTTGATTTCTTGTGGATCCCTTGCCTATCCATAAATAATCAATATTCAGTCATAAATCTCATAAAATTTAATGCTCACCCTAGTGAAGGTACTCATCAAGAGAGTACTCAAAAAGTACTCACGCTAGAAAATGCCGCGAGAACTCATGAGTACTCAAGGCTTTTGAGTACTCACTAGTGGTACTCGTGCTAGAATTTGAGTATATGAGTACGACTATTGAGTACTCGCGCTAGAATCTGAGTACAACCATCGAGTACTTGCCTTAAAATAATGAGTGTTTAACGAGTACTCCTATATAGTTTTTGAGTACTCTAATCGTTTATGTAAAATACTCATAGGCCTACATTCTGTTCATTACCGTTGCACTACGTCCATTTTATTTTTTATATAAAATTAAAAACACAAAATACAATGCTACATATTGAAAGTATGAGACAACAATCAATACGAGAGTTACAAGTATTACTTTATCTGCATTAGTTTTTAACATAAATACTAGAGATAAAGAAATATCTAACTTTCTCCTATAACGAACGATGAAGATTACTTTCTCTATCTTATAAAGTAACAGTACAGTAAGCTGATTAGGTGGCAGTAAAATAAACTGAGAAAAATAAATGATAGATTGATTATTCAGTGAAATTGAAATATGTGATTACAAATAAAGATTCAGCATTGATTGATACACAACAAAAAAGATAAGTGTTTAAAAATCGTTTATATTTACAATCATTTAACAATTTATAAAAAAAAGTAAAATATAAATTACGCGTCTGTAGTTATTGTCTGCATGTGTGTATAGTTTAAAATCGCAATCGATTTGCAACAAAAGTCGTTAGTTCTTTTGTTCTATTACGATTCATCATCAATCTGAAAAACTTTATGTTAATACAGAACTTTTTATCTAAATTTAGAAATTGAGACTAGAATGAATTTTGATTAATCTATTTAATTCAATATTAAATCTTATTTGCGAAGTTAACAGTTAAAAATGAAAAGTTGTTTTGTTTTCTTTTTTTCTTCGAGTCATCATCCAATGAAATCGTATAAACCAATCATCAGAAAATAATAGAGGATAAAATATAGAATTCATTAAAACAGTTCTTCTCTATTTTTCATTTAAAATTACATCGTTTTTCTTTATTACATAATTTCAATTTATTTTTGTTCATACAAATGCATAAATGTTTCACTAAATATTCTGCGAAAAAACTCGTATGAGTACTATACTGAGTACTCGCGTCTTTTTCTGTGAGTTAATCTGCAAAGAAAAACTAGTATGAGTACTCGTATGAGTACACATACAGTATTCATACACATAAAATTCTTCAAGTACTCGTACGAGTAATTTGAGTACTCATGCTGGCAAGTCGTACTCGCTTGATGAGTAGTTTCACTAGGGCAGATACGTCTACTAATGAAAAACGGCGATTATTCAACGATAAATAACCGGATGAACTTATTGAAGTAGAATGTTTAGTTTTTGTTAAACCATAGTCAAAAATTAACTGACCATTACGAACTAAAGGCATTTATTTATCAGAATAACTTGCAATTGCACGTATAACGTTTGGACCTACGTCAGCATATGGAAGTGGTGCGATACTCCCTATAATTCAATATATCTCAGTCAATTCTTTTGTCAAACGTCGAATGGCTGTTGCTATTAATACATGAAAACTGCTAACATCAGAAAGTACATATTCTTTGCTACTAGCTTGAATATAAAATTGAGCAATATTTTTAACGAATTGTAATTCATCAGTTAAAGCATGATAACTCATCAATACTGCTAAACATGCCTTCAAAATACGATATAGATCTTTGTTATAATATTGAAATGAATTAGTCGCATCAATGACTAGATCGAATCGAATTGAATTGAATTGATCATAGTCGACTTTCAATTTTTAATTCAGTTCAATCAAACTATAACGGTAATACTGTTGCTAAATTGTCATTCAATTCTTTACAAAAAACTTAAGTATGCTTGCTTGATTTACCTGCACTGAGTGATGTAAGTTGTGATTGATTAGCAGATAATCATGATAGCCGACTATCAAATATGACATAATCACGAAAAACTAAAATTTTCATCTCGAATTCGATCAATATTCTTCTTCTCTAACATATAACACAGCATTAACATGTTAAAGACATGTGATCAGCTCAATTCTTTTTATTTTTTTGTTATTATAAAATGAGTAAATTACATGTAGAACGTCAAAAGAAAAAAGAAACCATTCACTCAATGTGATGTCATTGTTTTTCTCGTTGCTTTAGATGCCATATATTTACATGCAAATCAATAAAGATAAACTAAAAGAATTGTAGAAAAAAAAACCAGAGCAACCTTTTCACAATATTTATTTCTTCTTAACTCAGTAATTAATTTGATCAAAATAATAAATACACAAAGACAAATTTTTAAGCGACAGCATAAAAAAAATTGAAAAGTATTAACATTTTTTTCTTATAATGACATTATCTGTTAAGTATAATCGGTCGATATTCCAATATTTTGAAATGATATTCACTAAACAAAACAGTTAAATGGTAAAACTTTGAAAAGCAAAATCTCGAAAATATTTTTTTTGTTTTCGAAAGTGATAATAATAATGTAGAAATTACAGCTTTCGCTCGTGCTCACAATATCGGATTGCACGTTCGTTGTTCTCTCATGATTGATTCATGAAAAGCTGGAAAAAGACCTGGATATTGTGGCTGTAAAGTTTATAATTTTCGATATTTTTTCGGTCGACACTTTGCAACTTTACCAGCAAAATCAATTTGTTTTTTTATTTATTTAATAATACTGGTAGATAGAACATCTATAGAAGAGAAGTTATAAAGCTAATGACAAAAACACACATTATGAAAGTTTAAATGTCACTCAATTTATATACAATTGTTCATGATTGAATTTTGAGTTTAGCGAACAATAAAACCATTATAAGTAAAATAATACTGATCATGGAAGCAGTGCGACTTAGTGCTCGATTACAATAATCTTTATCGGAACAACAATAACGAACACTACTACCAACACCACTTCCAGATGTACATGCTCGACCACCAGCCATACGCTCTACATAAGTTGGATAGACCGCTTTCTAGTGAATTCGAAAACGAAAGCATGGAATTCAATGTAAAGATAATTACGTACTAAACAATAGGTATTGCCTGGAACTGGAAGATCGCCTGATGTAGCTTCATTATACGGATCATTGCATCCTGAATTACTCCAACCAGTACAAGATATACAATTTATTTCATGTGTGATCGGAATCAAGACTAAAATCGATACTTTTATATGTTTTTTATAGAAAATATTCTTACCAAATAGACAGAAAGATGATAAAATTAAAAAATTCATTTTTTGTTTCTATTGAGAATATTTGTTGAATTGCAGAGTTCTGTGCCACAAATAAATAATTGAAAGGCGAAAGAATCGAATTTCATTCTTATTTATTTAAGATTTCTATGTAAATTATAAGATTTTGTTTATTCTTAATTTTTCTTTCATGATTGTTCTACTCTCCAACTATATACAAAAGAAAACATCTCTTATAACGGGTGGAGTAAAAGTTTTGCATTAATTTTGTTTTTAATATGGCGATGCAGTGGAACATCTTGAAGGGTGTAGCTATTTTTTGTTAGAAAGAGCAAAGTATCTAGTTCGCAAACGTATAAAAGAATTCAATTACAGATGCTTCTTAAAGGCTATAAAATATTTAGAACAAAGAACATTGAAAAATTATTCCGCAACTTTTGTGAAAATTTTTTAGTCCGAAAATGTTTGTTTTGCCGATTTCTTTAAATACCAAATATTTTGTAGTACTTTATATATATACTTATGCTTCTTTACGAAGACTATCGTTTAAGTATCATAACAATAGGTCTACCATAAAAGAGAATGAAAGAAGGAACTTTTATATATGAAAAATATTTCATTTGATAAAATATTGAAATTTTCTCAAGTTATATTAATGTAAAAGCTACTGATCGATTGATTCTTGTTTTTATTTTATTCAAAAGCTTTGAGAACTTTTAATTATGATAACAACAAAAAAAAAACTGAATGTTTCACATATAACAAATGGAAACTAACAACAGTAAATTGTTAGACAAAGAAAAACTAAAACTGAAGTTCTTTTCTTCATTTGAGGTGACACAAAGTTCCGTTTCAAATGAAAATATTCTCAGATCCATAGTTGAAAGTATATCGAAACAAAATTTTTTTCCTAACTTAATTTTTATATAACCAATATTTGTGAAAACTTTCACATAAATCCCCTCGACTGCATCGAGAAAGAATTTTGGAAATGGGATACAACCTTTGAAGTTCATCCAAAAAGTAAATGTCTCTTTTGATGAAAGCAACAACATAAATAATTATTTATTAAGAGGACATATTCAATCTAAACGAGTTATACAAAACAAGATAAGATTAACTAATTGATAAAAATATCTACGAGAAAATTTTATATAAATCAAATGAACAAAATGAACTTTTTTATTTAATCGCAGAGAAGAGTTGCTCATCGGGTTTGAAATGATCAGTAATTAATTGGAGTTCTATATATTGATTGAAATTTGCTGGAATGATACTATTGAGAATGACAAGATATATTGAAACAGTAATCACTGGTAATGACATACCGGTGCTTACCAATGTTTTCGTTAGGCGGCGTAACAAAAATGTAAGCAAACGACCGACTTGAACACTACCTATGGATCCCAATGTCACATATATTTTTATTATTATCGATGAAGATGGTAGAAGAGCGAATAAGACCAATATATTGTAGGTAAAAAAGTCTCCAGGACCCAGTGTCCCACTTGTTTTCCATTTATCAATGCCGTCAATATAATAGGTCCCTGAATGACACTTTTTTTCTTGGAGTAATTGCTTGATTTGTCAAACTTGAATGATAAAGACGGCCTCGATGATGTAAACATGTGAAACTAAATGATGAAACAAAGAAAAACAATTTAGTAAAATAACTTTTGATAATTCTATAATTGACATCTGAATTCTCTCATATCGTTCATATCATGAATTTAAAAATTTTTTAGTAAAAGACAAAATTTGAGTTGTTTCTAAGGGAAGATAATTGATGATCATTCTCAAAATTTCTAATTAATCAAAAAAAGCAATATTTAAAGAAATTTGAGAAATATAGATTATCTCTAGAATTTTTGATTATCGTTTGGAGATGTTGATTGGCAAAAGTCAGGAATGATCGATCCGTGATAATTACATGTACTGCAAAGCGTATGGAGAACGATGATCTTTTTTCATGTAAACTATCGAAAAAACATTGTCATTCATTAATCCAAAATGAACTTGGAAATGAATTAATTAATTTATCGACTTGTTTTTGTAATTCTACATTTGAATTGTTAAAAAAATGCTTCATTCATTCTTAGTCAAAATGTTTTAAGTTTCGGCAAATGAATACGAATAATTTATTCCCATTTATAACCGTTGATTAGACTATGTATAATGCGGATATACAAATAACATAAATTAGACATATTTTGTAAAACTAACTCAAGTTTCGAACCGATTGATTTATCAGGACAATAAAAGTTTTATTGAATTAGATCTGAAGGTGGCAATAGTATATGTAATTGTCATCATGAACAGATGGTTCATTATGCATCGAAAGATGTTTGTTTCGTTGTTATTCACTATCTGAAAAAGACGCTCTCGATACCAAAACGTCACGAAGAGAAATAAAATACCAACAAGGAAGAGAAACTGTCTTTAATCAAACACAAAGTCTATCAATGTGAAAAGTAGATACACACTAGTAAACTTTGAGAACTTGTAAGATCAGGTGTTCTTCATATGATGAATAGTAGAGGGCTAATTATAGAATTTATTTTTCTGCATAACTATAGAGAGACAAGTCAGCAAGAACTAAAATTTCGCATTTCTAGGTTTTCATTTATGCGCATTCATTTCTGGTAGTAAAATGTGTGTATCAAAATTTTTGATAGTATAATACTATTAGCAGATATCCTCTATTCTTATGATCCGTCTCTTAAACACATAGAATCGCTCTTGCTCTTTCTGTCGTTTCTATAATGACGCAAGACTATTCACAGCTTCACATCGAGAGAGAGTCCAAGGAAGTGAACTAATCGGTATTACTAGGAGTGTAAGGTTTTCTCCAACAAACTTGGCTCTCTTTCTATGACTCAATAAGAATGTTCGAGCAAATAAATACGTGTGCATTTTTTGCTACTGTTTTTAAATAATAATTCTGTAGTTTAAACTTCATTTTTCATCTTCATAATCATTGACATCCATCAAAATATGTCATCATCAAATCTTTGTTGTCTTGGTCTCCTCCTAGCTCTCGTCTTCGGATGGTTATGTTTTTGCTCGGTAGCTCTGTTGTAAGTTGTATTGTTTCAATGGCACTTACAGAATAACTTTCCTCTTTCTTTCTCAATTCTAGTTGGAAAAGGATTCATGACAATATGTTCTCAAAATAAATTTCTGAAAATACTGTAATGTATCAAATCATCAGTAAACGGAAGTATCGTCAAGATCAGCTTTAGGCTGTTGACTACAGGTACTGCTTTTCTGTAATTGATTCCTTTCGAGAATACTGTGGAAAATACTTGTATTCTGCTGTGTCATTTTATTCGGAGTGGCAACTATTGAACTACTATTAGTTTTATCACTCAACTATTGGGCTTTATGGAGCATCGGTGTCGACGCCTTGCTCATACTTTTCTGAGCTTTGAGAATTTTTAATGAATGGCACAAAAATGGAAAGAACAAAAGACCAACGACCATCTTTCTTCTTCAGCCGCTCATTCGGACATAAACATATAATTCTTATTATCAAATTGATATTGTTTGAATTAATCTAGAAAACAGCTAATAAACATTTCTCTAATTTTGGTCGGTCTCTTTCGGGTGTGTGTAGGCATGTAGAGTATGCGTTTGCAGCAAACCCACATCCTAAGCGATTATAGATTCAAATCAACTGAGATTTTCCGATCTCACTGTAGTCAAGTACGTACAAGATCGATTCTTCTTGCTTATTTTCTAAGAAAAGAAAACTATTTTCGAAAAATAACATTTTTTTTTCATTTCATCTGAATTTCAGACATTGAATCCATTACAATGACTGATGATCATCATAAACGCAGCCTTTTGATTCTTGTTCAGTGTAAATTCTAGTGGAATTTGCTCTTGATGAAGACCACTAGTAACAATCGTTGTAGAGACAGGTTGAATTAAGTCAAAATCTGACGATACACTGCCGCTATTAAGCGACAATGAATCCTCTATGATTTTTATACATAATTGACCAAGAGAAAAAGAGCTGAAATCAGATGTTTTTTTGATTATCTGTCAACTTTAAATAAAATTAGCGTAATCAAAAACTTCAGAAAAATTGAAAACATCACATCTTTGTATATTATTATAGTAGACCTCATTCTATAATTATACGAATTGTCTTCTTTTAACAACCAAGTTCTAGTTATAGGCTTAAATTATAAGAAAATACTTTAAATCAAGACATAAAACGTTGAAAATCAGACTTTTTTTTAATAAGTGATTTTTTCTTTATTTATAATTGATAAAAAATCAGCTCTTTTTCCTTTGGTTGAAAGCGCATTTGTATATATACCAAAATCAAATATTATGGATGATTGAAAAGCGACAACTATTCATTTCATTTCATTTGGTGAACATAAATTAGCCAATGGGAAAAAAAGACGAATCAGTAAAATAAATTCGATAGAAACAAAGATATTTTATAGTTGTCCTTCCATATAATGTCATCCAATTTTGCAATTTCTCTTTTATTTTTAAAATGGCCGATTCGTCGACATCCATTAACATCGACAATCTTGTTCGTGTCTTTAAACAAAATGATAATGAAAACCAAAAGTAACTGTCTTATCATAACTTCTATCTTTTTTTTCTATTTCTCTATTTTCTTAGTCAAATATCGGTTAAACTTGAACATCATGATCAATGGATTAATAATTCAATTTCTTTTCGACAAATTACTCAAGATATTTCAAGTAATTATTTTTATATCTTTCA